ATATTACACAACCAATGAACTCGAGTCAAGCTTATTTTTTATACTTTTATTGAAAGACTTGCAAACAGAGCACAGTTTACATAGGGACAGAATAGTGGATGTCTAGACTTGTTCAGGAGAAAAGCACAGAACCTGGTATTACATAGATCCAAAAGCAGAATGAACTTCAGAAAGACTTTTTTTTACATGATAAAAAGGAGCAAATATAGACATTATTGTCCAATTAACAATACCAAATGAATGTGTCGACAAAACTGGAGAGAAATGAAAACAAAATGTCTGGGCAAAACTTCTGGAGAACTTTGAAAAAAGAAGAGGGGGTGTGTGTGTGTGTGTGTGTGTGTGTGTGTGTGTTATTGCAAAGCCTTTACACAATATCTTGCATCTTAAGATTTTTCCCCAGCTGTCCAACAGGTTTGGAGCGACTCACGAGACTCTGAGTGACATTTCAAGTTTAAATACACTATATAGGCCTAATAAAACAAATCTCAATCTCCAGGAGCCAGTGGAAAGGCCAGATCCATTTAGATTCACAAACGTCTGTACAACTCTGTGTGACTGCACGCTCATGACCTTGCAGCCTCACTATAAAATCAATAGCTACATAAATAAAAAGGAATGAAAAGTAACGAAATAGGATGAGTTGATTTAAAAAAGTAAATGTCAGTTTGGATATGAGGAAGTTTACAACATGAGAGGAGAGCAAGAATAAGGAACCCAGTTCGTTGTATGTATTTACAGTTTATAGGGAATAATGCAAATCATAATACTTCCTCACTGTAAACGCTCACAATTAGCTGAGAATTTTACCACACTTTTCTTATTTGTGTAGATTCATAATTTGCAAACTGCGCTGAGTGCTTGGATTCCAATATGAGGAGGCTTTGGGGTAAACATTCATGCGCACAATTTGGATTTGAGATGAAAAACAAACTTTCTCCTTGCAGCTGTCATACAGAGAAAGTCAGTAGAGTACTCCTCCTACACTCCAGTCATGAGAGTATTTGAATGGCATAGGAAGTTTTCCATCTAATTGCTATTCTCAATATGAAAACACAGCCAAACCAAACACTGCATGGTTACTTTTCCTCTGGGAAGTAATTGGATGATACTTCTGGGTGAGTCTTTAAACCGTCAAATTTAAACTTTAAATCCAATTGGCCAGGTGTTTGTATCATGGACACCTGCTTCATAGCCCCCTGCCCATCCCAGCTCTGGGGGACTGGCTGGATCGAGCAGCATCCCTCTGTCCATCTGTGTCTTCCTGGTCTCCTGCAGCCTGGGGTGAGGACTGTGTGGGTGGAGATGGTGGGGGATAGGAGGGAGGAGGGATGGTAAGACGAGGGAGAGATGGCAGTGCGGGCCTGGGAGAGGTTGGAAGAGGCGGAGGAGTGGCTGAGGTTGTAGTCGTGGAGTGTTGTGAGGAGCGTGCACGGGAGGTGGCGGGCGAGGCGTGTGTGCTCCTGGCACGTGGTGGCTCGGCAGGGCAGTCACTGATTTGCTCTAGCAGTGAAGGCATGTCTCCCTCAATCTTCTCCAGCACGGCAGCCATTTGCTTTTCTATCTGCTCGATCACACTGTCCATTTGCCAGTCGCTTGTAGTGCTGCTCCCGCCTCCTGTATGTGGTAGCCCGGTCCCGTACATCCCTACCCCTCCTCCACTCGTGTACAGGGAACTGTATGGACTCCCATAGCCCCCTGCTATCCCCATCCCTACAGTCCCAACTTCTGGGTTGTACGGTGTGGCATGACGGCCCAAACTAGCAGAACTGCCTACTGAATAACAACCCTGTCCTGTTGCAGGACCTGGCCTCGCTATGCTAAACTCAGCGCTGTATCTGTCTGTTGTCTTGGCATTTCTATCCCGTCTACCCACAGGGCTAGCATCACCCCTTAACCTAACTCCTAATCCTACATCCACCCCAGCTCCAGGACCCATTGCTGGAGCCACTGCCACTGACCTTTCTGCCACTGCCTCAGGTACTTGTGTCTGACACCAACTTCCATCACTCTCATCCCTCTGCGTGGCCGGCCTCTTCTCTGGTGAGGCTGTTGCAGCAGCAGAAGCTGTGGGTGGAACGCCATGGAGCGTTGCAGCCATTTTGCGTTTGCTGCTAGGATCAGGGGAGGCGGATGTGTGTTTTTTGTCAAGATTAGCGCCAGAGGAACCATCCAACAGCTTGGAGGGGTCAGGCGTCTTCACAGGGGTTGGTTTGAACTCCGGAACAACTTTATTTTGACCCAAATTGGCAGCCATTTTCCTAGTTCCATCACCTGCTGCTCTTTTTGCACCAACCTTATCAGGCTCCTCCTGTGCCAGTTTGGGGGCTGCATTTGATTGGCTTTGCTGACAGAAAGGCTCCTGAATATCTGATGGGGAAGTTCCTACTGATGGGCCCATACTTGTCTTTGCCTCATCCTGTTTTTCTCCGGCCTTACTCCTCCCCTCATCCTGGTCCATACCCACTGGTGTATTTTCAACAGTAACTTCTAAAGACACACTACTTGACGTCACCCCTCCATCACTTGTCCCTTTGTCTCCCTCATCACTTGTCCCCTGGGACACACCCCCCTCACCATCTCCTGCCTCCTCACTGCCCTGAGCCTCGGCTGAACTGTCAATCAGCGCCTCCGAATTCTTCAGTCGCTGCATGAAGGTGGTGACACGGATCGCTTTCTGCAAAACAGACAGAGGCAAAGAAACAAAGGAGAGAACGATAGCCATGTAAAGAGAATTAGATTGACAGCATGTTGTTTTTTCATTAACACCCATATTGACTTGTTTCCCTAAAAGAAAAGAAAAAACTTTGGTCCTATATTGCTTATGACAAAGCATATAAAGTAAGCTTTGAAGACAAGCATTTGACAAAAAGCCTGTCACGACACCATGATTTAGCGTCATCATACTAAGCGCTGAGATGTGATTAGTGTGAAGTGACAGTGCAGTAAGATTGGTGCCATGTTGTTGACTTCCAGGAGGCTATGAAATATTGTACCCTGGTTTAAATCAATCTCAAGACTCACTCTCTCCAAGCCACTCCTTGACTGCTTGCTGTCTGGAAAAGGTAAGCGAACAGATAAGTCTAAATCTCTTCCTCGTTCACTCTTACCCCCATCTGACTCCTTTCAATCTACAAACACTCAAGGAGTTAGGGAAAGTGTGTGAGGTTAGAAGTTGTTTCTAAACCAGGGAATTGATTCTCTGGAAGTGAAAAGCCATTTGGATAAGGAAATGCCACAGGATACAATATGGCTTGACTGAGAAGCTTCAGTATAGCTTCAAGTATGACTTGAATGTGACACTGAGGTACAGTATGGGGCAATGAGCCAGGATTCACGTAAGAGGAATGACAGAGGGCCTTAAAGTTCAAATCACTGCTGTTAAACAGTCCACAGTGGCCTATATCCCTTATATCCTTTCCTTTTCTCCCTCTCCTTATCTACACACATAGAAAAATACACAAGCAATGAGCAAACCCTCTTCCCTGTTGCTGATCATTATCTTGTTTGTCAATATCTGGTTTCATAGGCTAGTGCAGATGAGGAGTAAGAAAGGAGCAGAGCGGGCCACTTTGAACATCTGGGTCTTAATCCAATGAAGAAAAGTGGGGCAGAGTGGATGGATCTCTTCTGGGACAGGACAGGAGTGACAGTGGGCAGGAACAGAGCTTATGAGAAGAGTTTCACCAGCCCAAACATGGTCAATACATCTCAAGGCTGACTGAGGTTTCCCAATTGGTTGATTATTATCAACACTTTTACCAATAGAAACCTCCTTTAAATTCAAGAGGATGCTCAGCCATTGGAAAGATGTTTTGTTATTGAATCATGCCGGACTGAAGGTGAGTTTCTGCCCACGCTCTGTCCTTCCACTCTCCCTCGATATGGACTACAATACCTTCAACTCCTGGGAACCACATGGGGGAAAGAGAGAAGAGGGTTATAACTGTTACTTATGCTGTTAGGTCAGCACTGCCATCTTGACTTCCTCCCTCTCGGTGTTCAGCATTCACACCCCCAGGACATCCTAATGACCTTATCGTTTGCAAATTTAAAATATACTGCTGCAGAGTTGTACGCTGAGCTAAAAGTGCCTCATGTGCAATCATCATTACAAATAGACCAATTATCATCGCAATTATTGGCATCGTTTTCACTGTAGTCATCTTTATTATTGGCCCTAGCATTTAGCTTGTGTCTCCTCCTTTTCCTGTTCTGCTTACTTGGCTGTATTATCACAAACTTCATTTACTAGGAACAGGAAAAAAGAGTGAATTCATACCCGCCATTTGGCCTTTGCAAAGTTCTTCTCAAACTGGGCACACACACCGTCCTTCAGGTTCTTCTCCGATGCGCCATTCCCTGCAATCCTGGCACAGGTGATAGACAGCATACAAGTGAGCGCAAAACCCTGTGCCAAAGTGCTCGTGGTGTTGTGGTTATGTGCACACAATTACCATTCATGCCAAAGTGCATCCTGGGCAGTGATTCTCAGCATCTGGTCTACCTCCATGAGTCGACAGACAAGCTCTTTAGCTGAGAGAGAAACAATAGATAAAGGTCAATGTAAGTGGCATCATCTATAATGAGACTTTAGGGAAAAAAGTATATTTCTTTAAACATGGAAGATGGTGACACATTTCATTGTGAAATGTGAGATAAAGTAATTTTGGGCTATGTGAACATAAATATCTGACTTAATCCCTCTTTAAATTTAGGCAACAGATGGACAGGCAGACTTTTTTCCTAACTACCAACACGCCCAATACTTAATGCCATTGAAAACTCAATCGTGTATTTATTGCCATCGTGTGGTAGAGCAGTGTACCTGCAGGTGAAATGTCATCCCAGTACGGAGAATCAAACTCAAAGTCACCGGCAACAATGCGACAGAAGATGATGCGATTGTGTAGATCTGTGTTCTCCTCCTCTGTCTCATCATAAAAAGGAGGGTTACCTGATAAGCTGCAAGGGGAGAACGTAGATGGAGAGACAGTGAAAGGGAAGTTATTTTTCAAACCATGAACTCCAGAAATTGTCGTTTATAAACAACAGCTAAAATCTTATATGCTGCTCAGTTTGTACTGGCCTGCTTGTTGTATCTATATTTGGTAATCACTGATGTGAGACTCACAGTATGAACATAATGACACCCACAGCCCAGCAGTCCACAGGACGACCATATCGGTGACGAGCCACCACTTCAGGAGCTGGGAGACGGCAAAGAGAAGAGCAGACACAAAGACAGAGAAGAAGACAGATATGAGTGGCTGGCTTTTCATTTAAAAACCATCACGCTGCATCCATAATTCCACCCCACACAGACAAGAGCTCCCTTTTTCACTCTCTATCTCTCTCATTCCTTGTCCCGTCAGGGCCTCTGTTCCCTTTCCTTATTTATTTGCCTAATTACTCCGCTCAGCATTATGAATAACTATCCTGACCTTTCACTGGAGAGAACAGGGCCAAAGCACAGTTCCACACTCCAAGTTGCCCTCGCATAAACCTCAGACAGAGACAGAGGAGTGAGACAGCACACAGGAGATGAGAGGATATGAGAGGAGAGGAGGAGTGGGAGGAGGCCGAGAGTTAGGCGCTTTCAATTCTGTGTACGAGTTTCACTATAATAGTTTATCTCTGACAGATGTTGATCTTCAAAAGCACAAGGAAGTAAAGACATCAAAAGGTAAAGGATGCCCACAGGCCTACATTCACAACAGGAAGTAAAGCCAATGGAAGGGCGTATGAGTGGATGAGAGATGGAGAAACACAGAGTAGCAAAGTTATATATTTAGCTGTAAACAGAGTATATCCTACCCAGGTATTCCGGTGTCCCACAGGGCTCTGTGATGGGTCCGTTCTCAAACCTTGAGAGGTAGAAATCCCGCAGAACGACTTTGTTGTGGTTGTTTTCTGTGTAGTACATCAGGTTTTCCAGCTAAACAAAATGATGGACAGAATTAATTATTTTCATACAAATACATGCTGACTACAACCCTACACTGTATTGAACTGATTCAGTGCTACAAACACAATAATCAGCGGACATCGAATGATAATACCACCACAAACTGTAAAATGTCTCAGCAACTATGGCACATTTTAGGAGGCTTCAGTGGTTTAGGGAATCCAATACAGTAGAGTCAGCTCTTCTATTATTACTTGGCAATCTCTTGACAGGGGACAAGAACAGAGTGCATCACATATTTAAGTGGTCAGTAAGATCATTTGAAAATTTAAGCATATTCGTTCATTCATTTTCTGTAACTGCTTATCCTGTTGGGGTTGCGGGGGCTGGAGCCAATCCCAGCGGACATTGGGCAAGAGGCAGGGTACATCCAGGACAGGTTGCCAGACTATCACAGGGCTGACACATAGAGACAGACAACCATACATGCTCACATTCACACCTACGGCCAATTTAGAGTCACCAATTAACCTGCGTGTCTTTGGACTGTGGGAGGAAGCCAGTACCTGGAGAAAACCCACGCTGACACGGGGAGAACATGCAAACTCCGCACAGAAGGCCTCCCCAACTCCAGGATTTGAACCCCCCCACCTTGGGTTCGAACCAGGAACCCTCTTGCTGTGAGGTGACAATGCTAACTACTGCACATATGCCACTGTGGTGCAATGGCATATGTATTAAATTTCCCCTTGGGGACCATAAAGCTAAAGTTAAATGTTGAAGCTGATTTGTAAGTTGTGTTTTGAACTGCCAGCAAGAACTTTTGGATCATCAGCTAAAGCATTACAGTGGTGATAGTGTAATCTTAAACTACATTTACCACCTTTGGTTGTATGCCTCCGCCAACCAGTCGAATTGCAGTTTACATCCATGTCCAGACCCACAGACAATGCTTCAAATATAAATGTTGCTACATAGAAGCTAAAAATTCTAAAACGTGGACATTTCACACACATCTTCAACTTGGCAGCACAGAAGATCTATAAAATCGCCACAGTTTGAACATGGGCATTCAAGGTTAGTGTCACCTTTTTAGAATCTGACCAAATGTCTCCCCTGCTGTTCCTGAGTTATAATGTTAAGTAATGGCCAGGAAAAGTGCTTTTGCAGAACATTATGATGTCACAGTAAAGCTGACCTTTGACCTTTTGGATTTAAAATGTCATCACTTCATTATTTTATCCTAATAGACACAAAATTTATCATAATTAGCAAATGAATTTTTGAGTTATTGCCCGAAACAAGTTTTGTGACATAGGTGACCTCGACACAGTGACCTCGACCTTTGACTTTTGTCCACCAAATGTAATCAGTTCATCACTGAATCCGAGTGTTGTTACGATATTTCTGCCAAATTTGAGGAAAGTCAGACAGATGAATGGACAACCTGAAAACATAATGCCTTCGTCCGTGGCTGTCACTGGTGCGGAGGCATAAACATAACCAAATGCATATACATACACACACTCGGACTCAGAGACACGGTGTTTCATTTGATTGTTGAGACTGATTATCATACTGTAGCGAAAAGAAGGGAAACCAGTTGTTGTCGGAAGTTATCAGTGATCAGTGTGTATTTTAAGTATGCACAATTCATGGTTAACTGTCTGACAACTTTGTGTCATCACAGTCTTCAGTGTGCATGAGTGCATGTCTAACAGTCTGTGACAGTGAGATAAAGTTCTCCTGTACATGATCTGCAGCGTCTGGCCATTGATTTCCACTGACACATGCTGTTTCGACCACTGAAGTCCCATCAGTGAAAGAAGATAAACTTCAGTATTGTTTGCTTTTTCTTCAACACTCCCTCTCTTATATATTTGATGAGCAGTTGAAGAGGTGATGGGTGAACTGCCTGAATCAATATTTAATCACCCTGTGTGCAGTGCTGATCATATGTCATCTCTTGACAAGGCAGATGAAGAAAAAGAAACACCAGTAACATATCTACCTGATTAGAGGAAGCATGGTTGTATTTTCCTGTCTGCCGCGTGCTATTTCTATTTAAACTGTAACTGGTGTGCTGTCTTGGCCAGGTCTCCCTTGGAGAAGAGATTTCTATCTCAAGGGACTTGCTGGTTGAATGACGATTAAATAAATCTTGGCCTGCCTTTATGAATGCATCTCTATTTCTGTGCTCATATCAAAATATAATTTTCATTCAGTTTCATGTGTCCATATCATATATACTATGTACTGTATTTACATACAATATGGGCTGAAAGAAAATTCTGGATTCTACCAGAAGGGGGAGTCTGAAGCCCAAGGCATGCTTTCACTCCATCCTAATGGGTTGATAATGGGGGCTAAAGATATGAATCTGTCTGCCTGTGCGAGTATCACTAGAGATTGCATTAAGCCATAAAGACAGCATTTGCTCCCTTGCTAAAAAGGTTATCAAATGTTGAGTCATTAACTGACATGGCAGCGCAGTGCTTTTATGTGTCTCTAAAGAGATTCTGCTGACTATACACTGACAATTGCCTTCTGGGGTGTGATGGCAAACAAGGCCACTCATTCTCTAAATCTTTTTGTTTTATTCCTTCTTGTATTTTTAGAGGCAAGTCACAATCTTTTTATATCTTTTTTATTGTACTGACGCTCACCACACACGCATATGATGCCATAATGTAGGGAGAGGGCGACAGAGAGTGAGTGTGTACCTTCAGGTTCCTGTGAACTATGTTGAGTGAGTGTAAGTACGCCACAGCCTCCAGGACCTGTCTGATGACATTGGATGCGTCTCTCTCTGTGTAATTCCCTTGGTCCAGAATCCAGTCAAATACATCTCCTCCTGTGGCACTGCATGCAGTCAAACACACACACAGAAACATCAGCACACACATGGCCACATATACTAATAAAAAAGAATGCAAGTTGGTGCGACTGTTAACCACATGTTGCAACAAAATAATTCACTTTAAGCTTTCGGTAACGCAGTTATCAAAAGCCCTGTGCTCTTGTGTTTTTGTCCATTAGTAAGGCAATCTGCTTCTTCTGGCCTGAAGCTAGCACTGCTGAGCAATTAAAAATTAGAGTATTGGTCATTACTCTAAAAGACTTGGTTAACTTCGGAGAGTGTATAAATGATGGGTGTGATCATCACGTATCGCCCTCAGCAGGAGGACTATTGGCTGGGGCAAACGTGTGAGCTATGAACAGACACCAACTCATAAACAGACTGATGCACACACAGACGGCTTTGAGTGCAGTCTGTCTCTCTTTATCTCAGCAGCAGAAGGGAAATCATTTGTCCACTCAGCTCCAATCAATGTTATTGCTGGCAAATAAAGTTGCAAATGTTAAAAAATGCACCAGTCACAAGTGACGTGGATTGGGCGCGCTTTGACGTATCGATCCTGAGCTCTCTTTAGAGACCCCATTATGGCAAAGCAGTGCTTCAGGAGCACTGAGTAATGTTGAGTCTTACTAAGAGCAAATACCTCATAAAATCTAACACCTTCCTCTGTTGCTGAGGGGAGCAGCAGAGCACACAGTAATAAGAGGGGAGACTCAACCCCTACCCCTTGAGCTGATGGATTTGTGCGTGTTAAGGTACATGAAGGCACATACACAATTAAGTCACGCACACTTAAGCACACATCGTCGGGAATGCTTACACAAGAAAGATAAATAGTGAAACACTCACAGCTCCTGGATGATGAAGTATTCTTTCCGGGTCTCGAATGTGTCTATCAGCTGAAGGATGTTTGGATGGTTGACCCTGGAACAGCAGAAAGGAGTCACAGACTGTAACCTTACAACAGTGAAGGGTCACACATGCAGTTGAAGGGTGTTAAGCATTCTCTGGCGTCTGAATAGTCTTATAAACAAACAAGACTGTGTGGGTGTAAATCTCTTTGGCTGGTAGATACTTCAAAAAGCAGTGCAAAGCAGAAGTTACAAACACCTGAGCTTACATTATTAACCAGGGTTATTGCATGGTTTGTGTGTCTGCAAATATGAACAGAAATGTCAAATAACAAATCATTCTCTCCATCTCTCTCGCTCTCTCTTTCTGCCTCTCTCTCCATCCCCCAATCATACATCCATCTGTCCACAGACCGACTCCGTACAATTTCAGGATCATGATTTCGTTCTTGGCAGCCTTGCGGACTTTCCTGCCGTCTTTCTTGAGGAATTTCTTGCAGACAAACACCTTGTCCGTCTGTCTGTCCTTAGCCAGGCACAGCTCGCAGAACTCCTTCCTACGCAAGAGGAAGAAAATATACAGACAGACAGACAGACAGAGAGAGGCAGAGAAGGTAAATAATGCTAGAGCACAAAATAAGTGTAGATGCTTTTGGAGAAAGCATTATATAGATGGATAGATCCCATCTGAGAATAAGGTCCAAGAGAGACACGGTGTAATAGGCAGACAAAGTACACTGGATGTTTTGGTGAAATACAGAGAAAGAATTTAATTGGGTGGAGAGGCATTGAGTAGAATAAAAGGGTCATAAATAACGAATCCGAAATGGGTCTACCGCTGCCATGAGCTGGGCATCGTCTGGTTTCGAGCCTTTGGGGCATACAGTGCTTCAGCCAAATGGATTTTGAGAAGCTGTGTGATGCAAAATTTAACTACAACGTTTCACATTAAATCTTTCATGCCCAATAAATACTATCAGAGAAAATTCAATGGTCCCATTTCTTTCTTTCTTTCTTTCTTTCTTTCTTTCTTTCTTTCTTTCTTTCTTTCTTTTTCTTACCTTCAGTCATTACATTACATGGATGATATAACGCACTGTAATTGTGCTACCCTCCAAAGAATAGCAAATAAAAGGAAGACAGTTTATGTGCATGTCATATGCATTACCATATACTAACACATACAGCACGACACGACATGGAATGGTACAATACACTATGATACAATATGATATGATACATTGAGATATGATGTAACTTTATTGCCTTTAGCTTCATTAGATTGAAATTCATTTTGCATCCTCCGACAGCTCTGCTCAAGAAGTTCCCCCACAAATTAGTCATACAATTACACAAATATCACAGGCCGATTTTGGTTTAGCAACAGGACAGACTGATGTATAAACCAATTTTTCAGCCTGTTGTGTTTAAATGGAGGGACTCTGAATCGTCTGTCACAGGGCAAAAGTTTGTATTCTCTGCTAAGGACATGCAAGGGGTTAGAAAAAATGCCATTAGCAAGTCTGTGGGCTGCCCTTAAAGAAGTGTGCTACAGGTTGGCCAATAATCTTTCTACTTAACATGTGCGTCCCACAAATGTTGGAAAAAACAACTATACATTAAGCTTGTAAACTCTATGTTCATAGTGCACAGTATGGGCCAATAAATACTCGCCATACTGGCCAAAAAACACATGGACACACACATTTAAGATGCACAAAGTATAGAATAAAATGGGCAATTTGATTATTATTGTTAAACCCACCCACTGATTGATAATATCTTTCCTCTTATTGTCTTTTTGTTGGTGATATCTCATAAGATGTTGTTTTTATCAAAGAATAAAGCCCCTCCTTGCAGGACGGCGTTTCAGAGCTCGTTCTGTATTTAAGTTCAACAACCGTAAGTCATTCTAATAAATTAATGGTAATAGAGCATAATTCTATCTTTACCACAGCCTCGCCGCGTTTTACTTGTTTTCATAGAATTAAGAGCACATGTAGCCCACAGCAAATGTGTGCACTTAATTCTCAGTTAATGTGTGTGTGTGTGTGTGTGTGTGTGTGTGTGTGTGTGTATGTGTGTGTGTGTGTTATATAAAACATGAGCAGAAATCTCTGAGGCCAGATGCTGATGTTGCCATATGGCCTCTTACACTGATTGGTGTGTTTGTGTGTGTGTGTGTGTGTGTGTGCCTTTAATGTGTCAAGGAGAGGTGTCCATGAAAAGAAAACTTTCAGTATCCGGCCAGTCGAGCAGCAGTGATTTTCACAGCTCTTTGAAAATCCGTCCAAAAGATTTGTTTTTTTTTAGGCATGACGTAGAATATTTAAACAGAATAAATTAGAGACTTCCAACAGTGTGTTTCTTGAATTGCCATGATCAAAAATATACAGACAATTGGTCTGGCCAAAATTTGAAAAATGTGTCTCTTAAGTCTGTTACACACTAGCCTCATGCTATTACCTTCTGTCATTCCTTCAGTGAAAGCGTTTGATATGCCAAACCAAATCTGCAGGGGAAATGATCCAATTTGAAATAATTCATGAAGAGAATAAAGACCATTTGGGAATACTGGAATGTGTCCATGAATTCTACATGGGAGAAGAGAGGGCGGGGGGCAACAACAGAGATCCATGCATAAAGCATGCATATGATACTTACGCTCGGAGGACCTGTCCAATCTCATACTTGTCCGTGACATCAGATATGCTGTCGTAAGTCCGCCCATCTCGCAGGGCAAGGCACCCAAATGGCATGACGGCATTCACCTAAGAAACAAAGAAAAAGACATTTCAGTCATTGCACTACAAAGGGGGAAAGCATAGCATGAATTATTTTTGATGACACCTTTAGGTAACAGATAGATAAGGGGATCACAGAGCAGCATGGACAAGCATGTTAAAGAGGAAAGGAGGTACTGATGAAATGTTATGAAAGCCTCAACTGGTCCGAATTCAGAGACACCAAGGGAGCGCCGTTACTATTAGCCTTGAAAATACACAGTTCATTGGAGAACCACAGATGCAGCCAAGTCCATTTCTGAACGAAATCTGGATACTAAAGCTTCTGGCAGCCTGGTTGCGTGCCAGCCTTGTCAATAGATACTAAGCTACCCACTAAGCTTCTCTCTACTCTGCTAAAGTCTGCAGATTCTGTGCAACGTCTGTCAAGTTCAAGTTAAACTTTATTTATAAAGGGCAGTGTCCCTGTGTCCCTAAAGCAGCTGGCTTCCTCGGCAATCACTGGTGCCCCAAGTAACACTGACGGCACTGGGTTTTAATGACAGGAAAATTAGATTTTTGTTTTTAGTCTGTGTGTGTGTGTTTGGATTTGTCTTTTGATCTGGAGAAGCAGTTCATGACCTTTTAAACTTATTGTCAATGACTTTTAATTCCTCTTTTCAAGGGCTTGGGCAAGGGCATTTCAACATCGAGGGGTGGGGGAGGGGGAGCAATATGAGTCGCTGTGTTTGGGGATCCTCTGCCAGATAATTTTGAGCATTAGCTACTTTATTTCTTGCATTCTGGTGTATTTTTATGCACCCATTTGTGTGTTTTTTTTGCATCAAGTTATGGTGTAAATGTCTTTAATTTTGTCCTGTGCTACTTTCATGTTTTTATTGGTGGAAGAATGCAGATGTTCTAAATATTGAGGGGGGCATGTCCCCCGCATCACCCCCCAAATGTACGCCTGTGGCTCCTTTAACCTCATCATAACTCTCACTGTTAGCACTGCGCCTGAAAAATGCACTTCACAAGGGCAAAACACAGCACTCATTCCACTGAAACTGTATGTTGTCTATATATATATATATATATATATATATCTACTGTATATATACTGTATATATGTACTTCACCATCGCATTCTTCTTGTCTACCCTAAAATAGCGTGTGACCCTACAGGAGGTCCCAAACGCCCAGGTAGAATATCAAGGATCCAGATAGTGAATCAGCAATCGATATACCATCTCACCACAGTCCTCAGGCAATCCTCACCCACATCCTTTAACACTCCATCTACTGTAGGAGACAGATTCCCTGGAAGCTTCAGCCATTTATCCTCAATGTCCTTCTCCTCCTCAAATACCTGACAAAACCCATCCCTGCTGGATAATTCATTTGTGTTGTTCCTCTAGTGGCGATTTCTACCTCCAGTTTATTTCCTGTCTCCGTGGGGGCCTGGGACCGCATCAAGACAGATCTATGTAATTGAGCGAGTTAGGAAATATGTGTTGATAGGGAATGGGAGCTGTGGTTAATGTGAGTGATGCTGGAAGCAGCTATAGTGAGGAAGAGAGATGGAGAAAGACGGGAACTGAGAAAAATATGATTTGAGGACGCAGAACAGAAAGACAATAGAAATCCTCAGAGGTAATGACATTTTGCGGGTGCTAATTTAGGATTAAGGAGTGAATGACAGTGATGTAAAACCCTCACTCTCTCTTTTTCTCAGTGCGTGTGTGTGTTTGTGTATGTGTGTGTGTAGCCTCACCATTGTAGATGATAGGGGCAGAGGTGCTTCTGATCTATGGTAGAGGCAGGGCTGGAGAGTACTGTGTAATCTCAGTGCTGTCCCTAATCTCTAATCTGTACCCCTAATCCAGCGCTGGGATATGCAGTTATTGTGTATGTGCGTGCATGTGCGAGTGTGTGTGTGTGTCTGCGCAAAGTGCAAAGGTTGTCGCATGTGGAGAAGGGTGTGTGTGTGTGTGAGTGTGTGTCCATGCGTGTCCATATGTGCATCCTTGTGTGCTCGTAATGCCCCAGTGAGACCGAGGGGGGAATTTAGCGGTGGATTGAAAAAGCCTAGTTTTGCCAGGAGATTATGTAAGCACAACAACATTCCCATGACAAGGTCCAGGACGGTGAAGGTGATGCTGGCTTGATGTGAATGGAGCGCCTCCATCCCCCGTAGGGAACACAGTGTCCCCGCTGAAATATAGTAACAACTGCCAAGCAACAAATGTCAACAGATAAGCTTGCCAGTAACTTTCTGAGATGCTAACTTTCAAGTAGTAGAGTTCCACACAGCTTTTAGTCTTTTGCCTGCTCCTAAATTCTGTCCCTGCTGGCCACCATACTCTGTCTAATTTTATTAATGCTCTCTGATTTTGTTAGAGCGTCCTCGCATTCCCATCAGCCATGACTTGGTAACGTTTGTTGGAGCCGCTGGGCACTTTTGCAAAATCTGTGAGTTTCTTTCAAGGTTCAGTCGAAAACATTTATAAAAACTTTTTTGTCATGTTTGCTGAAACTGTCACTATATCCTGACAGTCAGACATGATACAGATAATCTGTGAGATAAAGCAGGTTCCTCTGGCTCCTTCTAGTGCTCCTACTGGCATTTGCAAAAATCCACTACGCCTGAACGAAAACAACCAATCAAAGCCATGAGACGTCTCTAAAAGCCCTGATACACCAAGCTGACGGTTTGCCATGAGTCAGTGTCGGGCTGTTGGTCATGCATCGTTGGTCCTTGTCCGCCCTTATGGGCTTTTTTTTCCGCGTCAGAGACGGTGGAGTCTGTCACTGAATGAAATTCCTCTGATTGGCAGTTCAGCTCAGTGCACAAGAAGAGAAACTGAAGTGAGGAAAGTAAACAAACAGCTAAAGTCAAGAGGGAACAAGATCTAAGTTATTGTTATAACCACTGAGCTCTTTAGCAGAAATGGTGTGTAATTGTTTGTGTTATTGTTCACTAGCGCACGATAAATATAATTTGATCCTGTAAATTAGGTTGTGTTGTATATATGCTAATTAGCTAACTAGCATCTTCCGTCGTTCCTCCGGCTTCTTCTCTTGAATAAAGAACACAGACTGCCGCTGCCTGCTGGTGTGCAGAGTTATTTCCTCTTAAGCAGGCACAGAAAATACATGCTGGTTGGCCATCAGCTGTCGTCTTTGCTGTGTGTTCAAATTCAACTTTTTGGCTGAGACACAGGCGACCTGAGGTGATGCAACAGTCGGCTTTCGCTGCTGCTACTTCTCTGATGCCTTGTTTTTGTGTCTGGGCCTTAACACAATGTCAAACACTGCTCATGCACATGCTGCGCTGCCAGACAAAGAAGAAGACAAAGGAAAACTGACAACAAAAAGTTTGCTTTTATTGTCACAGAAGTCTTCTATTTACTTGTCTTTAATGTGTACACTGTTGCTGGCAAAGGATCGATGGGCAGTTGGTTCCATGTTGGTGGTTGTTTTTCAGCTATTGTGATTGGAAAGCTTCTGCTGAGGCTGCGTGGTAAAGATACTGAGATTGCCTGAGTGGAGAGGGGTTCACGAGCAGTGACTGACACTGTCTTAGATGGAATTTATACTTCTGCATTAAATCGACACCGTATCTACAGCATAGGCTTTGCGTTGACGTAGAGCCTATGCCGTAACCTACGTCGTAGCCTGACGTGCACCTCCCCCTAAATGTAACTACATGTTGCCACGACGCAGACCTCCTGTTTATTTTGGTAAGATGAAACCATTTCCCTCAGTGGAAACAAAGCTTTTATTTACTTTTATTTCACAGATAAGAAACAATAAATTGTGTACTTAATAAAGCCTCCACAAAAATAGCATTTTAAAATTTATACTTTATCCTGACTTCATATGAGCAGAGGAAATCGCTGCTCGTCGCTATACTAATTTTTACAATGTAAAATGCCATGGGCTTGTGCTAATAATGTTAGCATGTTGTATTTGTTTGGAAAACGTGTTTAGTATAAGACAGTTGTTTTGTTGGCGAACCTTGTGGGTTGTAATGGAGCCAAATTTTGTAATGTTACCTTTGTTAAATGTTGCTCTTGTCCCTAGTTTCATATGAGAAGACGAAAAGTTTGCTAGCTGTTGGCTAATTTATACAATATATAAAATGCCATAGGATTGTGCTAAAAACGTTAGCATGTTGTATTTGTGGGGAAAATGTGTCCAGATAAAGACAAGTGTTTGTCTGTGAATGCTGCGAGTTATAGTGAAGCTGATTTGTGTACTTGTGTTTGAAATTGTCTCTATTAAGCCATGTTTAATGTGTGTTTAATGTGTGTTTTGAATCAACTAAACTTTACAGCACTTCACAGGAACCTCTGCCGCCAACTAGTGTTTTGAAGGTGTAACTGCAGAGTGACAGAGACACACCACTGCACAAGTATAAATGCTCACAACGGCGTAGGCCAGGTGTGCCACACAAGTATAAATCCCACTTTAGAGAATCCTCTAGGCTCTGATTGGTTGTTTTCATTCAGGTGAGGTATACTCTTGCAAATGCCTTTAGGAGCACCAGGAGGAAGCAGAAGAACCTGTTTTTTTTCTGTCTCATGTACTACTGGCAGGATATAGTGACAGTTTCAGCAAACAAGACAAAAAGTTATTTCTATATAAGTTACCTACTGTAGCTTTAAGTCTGTACACTGGCAACTTTTTTTTGGCAAACTTTTCCTTCTGTTTCCCCAGTCAGGATGGGTTTAACTGGGTCGGAACTTAAAGTGATGCTCTTCCCTTTTTGATATTAACTCCTTGAAGGCTTGAAGAGCTGTCTTCATAAAGAATAACAGCCAACTGCTCATGTTTCAGGTGTGAAGATAGGTATTTATGGTCCGTCCTTTCCTTCAGATATATGTTTGTCCTTCTTTTCTCGTGTCACTGGTGATTGTTTCTCGCCCTAAAAACTCAAATGCCTTAAAAACAGCATACCTGCAGAATACTGAGTCAGATTGAACCTTGAAGTTAACATAGAGTAGGAGGCGATATGGGAGGATATGAGAAGAAAGGAGACGAGA